CGTTGCTGGGTGAATAATTTGCTCGCCAGTGTAAAGAGGCACTTCGAATAAAGAGGTTTTTATAACAATTTGTCTACTTACGCGGCCTACTCAACTTGTGTAAAATGTATCGTAGAAAATTCACTAATAAATTCGTGTATTGTGCATTTGGAAAAAGCACCTCGTTGTTATGTATTTACGTCTTATTTTTCCATAACAATCAGAGGTAGAAATGTTTGGGCCACTTCTACCGATAGAGCGTATAGTGCACTCGAGTTGTTCAGCGCGTTTTCGTTAGGTATTATCCTATCACTCAGTACATTTAAAGTATTGCTTAGTAAAGTCTTTTTAGTGTAGAAAAACATTTAAATAATGTATTTTTATTTGACTATACTTGATTCTGTCATGGATAAGAGAAAATATAGATGGGGACATTAGTCTACTGTAAAGTAGGTATTGTTACTTATTCGAATTTCATGAATTCTTTATAAAATGTTGAAAGTATTGCTTGTGAATTCATCGTTCAAAATTGACTTAAAAATTTATTATAGAATCGATCTGACAACTAGTAATTCCCGCTAGTTTCTTAATACTAATTTGCACTTAGTTAATACCGAATTATTCGAAATAGTGCGTTGGATGTTATAACTACATTTTGTGACAAAATGGGTTAATGGATCTACGAAAGTAGAATTACATTATCAATCAATCTAGGATCAATTTAGGGCTTAAAACTTCCAAATACTATAACTTTTTCCATTGAAAAGGTAAAAGGTTTGAGTATTTGCGAGTTTAGCCCGTTTTTCATTCCGTGCTCTCAATCAAGCGTACTTTTAAAAGTTCATTTTTTTGTAAATCATTAACTTGTAGGGGAGATCGGTCATTGAAGCGCAGTCTAGTGTTGAAATGACTGAACAACGTCACAATTATTCGGAATTTTGTATTGCAGTATTTGATTAATTAGACCTTATAATCCATTAACTACGTAGACTTTGATTGATTGTTGAGACCAGGTGCTAATGGTGACTATAGGAACCACGGTAAGTGGAACCTTATCACATTGGCACAAATTCCATCAAGATTCTAGTCCTTAATATTACTCAGCGTATTCGCTAACCTCTCAGACGCACCTCTAAACAGATGTGATACTAATTGCACCAAAGTAAAACGCATCTAAAAGCCCTAAATTTAAATGTCTATTCAGACAGATAAATTAAAAAACTAGAATCAATTTGTACATCCAACAACTCACGCTCCAGGCTTTGTAATGACGTAAGTGCATTGTAATATTACAGTGACAGTCCGGACATTGGCGCGAGTGCTAGTTTCGGGCGCTAGGTGGCGCTGGTGACGGCGTGAGGGGAGGCTCGCAGGGCCGCGTGACGTCGAAGCAACTCGGTAACTGTGATGGCTACTTGTACCGTGCCCTTGCCTTCCAGGACATCTGCCGCACAGCACATTAGTTTCTGGAAACAAATATGATTGTTGTAGTCATAAAATATAGTACTAATGTGTAATGACACTTGGATAGATGCTCTCCATTCTCATTTATATTCAATGGTATTTTCAGTGGAATAGGCTGTCCTTGGAAATCAGGTAGGCGACCAGAAAGGAAAAGTTTGAGACTGACAGTCATCTTGAGTGGAGTGTTGGTAGAATCATCATCATAAGAGTCTCATTGTTAATACCTACTGCTGTTTATATTTGAAAAGAAATTACAAACATTTAAATGAAGACCCTATAAAATTTAAATAAGTCATTCAAAGGAACACAATATTGTATGGATCTGGATCGAAGGTACAACACCAACATTGTAAAAAATAGAAGGAAAACCAAATAAAACAATAACATTTGCCAATAAGAAATTTATTTCTTTATGTAGTAGAACATTGTAAGTACATACAAAAAAGTACACTTCAAACATCCTTCTATAATAAACCTATGACTAATAGCCAAAAAAAAAAAGTCAAAAAAGTCACTATTTTTAGTAGAAAAACAATACAATATCTCTCTTAGTTATTTAAAGTGCATTATTGAGAAGAAATGCGTGTTATTAAATGCAAAATTATTCTCTAACGTATAATACTGAAAATAGAAAATTAAAAAAAGGAAAAAATGTCTTAGTACATACTTAACAATAAATGGAAAAGATATCAAAGACTGGTTTTAATAGGTAAATGGTTGGCAAGAAATACTTGACTTTATTTATTAATGTTTACAATAATGAGTATACTTATAAAATAGTTTTGGGTTAACGGGCGATATTAAACTTTATTGTTAGTACACAAAGTCGATTCCGATAAAACCGACTTGTAATTGTAATGGCAATATTAAGTATTATTTTCTTTGTATAAAAGCCTCAATTTCATCGTAATAATTTAAAACCAGTCACTATAATTTACGTAATAAGTACCCAAGCACCACAAGCTAATAAATATATGTACGCTAAAAGCTTTTAAATTATATATTAAACATTTATATCTCTTAAAAGTATTCATTAGCATTGTACTTGCGACTTTAAAGCTTTAAAAATAAGATTTAATATTACGAAGCTAGGAAAGAAAGTTCCACATATACAAAATAGCTTATGACCAGAATAAAAGTAGTTATTTAATATAAATATATTACTGTTGGGCGTATTTTTTTATATATTTGCAACATCCATTCCTCTCCCCAATCATTTATGAATTCCTTAGTCCCCAAAACCATAATCTCCAAAAGACCATCAATGCACACGTAACTCCTATGATGACGGATCCAGGGGATTATTTGATGGTAAGCGAACAGAATCGCTCATGGATACACAGGTTTAAGGGAGCAGTTCCACTGAGGCGGAGAAGAGACATGTGGAATTCAAGCCATGTGATTGGTGAATCGCGGCACAGCTCTTCTCCGCTCCGCCTCAATAGAACTGCACCCTTAAGGAGCCAAAGTTGCGTAGTTGGCCCTTTCAGAAGGCCTATTTCTTGAAGGATTGAAGATAGTATTGCGTTTTTTATGCATGTATTTTTTTAATAATGTAACTATCACTAATCATTATTCCGATTTTGTTTGGTAATACATATGTATATATACAATATAAAAAAATAATTTAATAAATAATAAAATACGCCCAACAGTTTATAGAAGACATAGAAAAACTAATTTTCGAGATTACGACATGACAAAATTAGCAAGAAAATAAGGTTGAGAAACGGCGATAGTAAATTTTAATTAGGTTATATTATATGCAAAACAATTAAAACAGAAGCTACAGTCTTTATAAACACATCTTTGGAATGGTTACAATGTAGTAATAATAATTATTATTTTTAACATATTTACGAATATAAGTAAACTTGTCATATTTCTGTTACGTCATAAATGCGTAAAAAATTGTCATATTATTGTTTGTTACTGTTATATATTATATATAAATATACTATAACATATTATTTGATCTTATTGGCATCATCAGTTGTTGGCTTTGTTATAAGATATCGGTTAATTTATCATAAGTTTATTTTTGTAAAATTTGTCTTTTATACTTAAATCTTTCATAAAATTGTTATGCATAAAGCCTCGAAATACTAAATACTACAACTACCAATGAAAAAGTTGTCTAATTTAGAAGCGGTACGCATTGCCCTCTACCTAAGATCCAAATATTAATACTTGAAATAAACGATACAAAATAAATAAACAAAATCCGCTTTCTACGGTACGGAATTCAAACAAAGAAAATCAAAACGTTTTCATATAAAGATTTAGTAGCACTTCTTCTGGTATATTCCTGTATCTACAGATACAGAAAATAATTTTTCATGCAATGCGCACCGCTACCTAACACGTATCTAAAAACATTTTTACATAGCTCTTGCATTAATAATACAATAACGATATGATGTTTCGATTAAGGCATATAATTCTTATTTTATAAGAAATATCGAATAAACAGCTAAGCTACGTAATCAGTATATACCATATAATTAATACATTTTCTTTTTATATCAATAATACTTCATGCACCAATGTTTCAAAGAGTAAGTTTTATTGTACTTTTAATTTTGAAATTGTTTTAATGTTTTGTGTGATTCTGAAGTTTGTTCCATGTTTAATTTATATATAAAATATTTTTAATCATTTCCCTATGTCTTTTATTTCATTTTCCTATCATCGAATGACTTCTCTTGCCCGGGTTGGGGCGAGAGAAAGTGTCCTCTTACTGATTAAAAACCACACCATTACTTCTCCTGCTTCGGGTCGAGACGGCGGTCATATTACTAGACTTACGAGTACACCCGCAACCTCCTTCAATAAAAAACCACATACAACCAAGTGGATTGGTCACAAGTTAACTACAAGACAAGTTATATTGCCCTTTTTTTAAGTACTTGTTCATGTGCTCAGAGTCTTGCCTACCAACGATAATATTATATTACTCAAACTTACTCGTATACAAATAAGAACATTCTACTTGTGCGCTATTGATCCTTAACCTATTCAAATCCATTACCACTCTCAAAATCACCAGTCATTTCTTTAGTATAAGCTAAAAAATCTACGTGTTTACTTAAATTCCATTAAAACATGTTTATTTATATCAAACTTCAGAATCACAGAACAAAACCCACAAAGAGGGGCAGTCTGCTACGATAATTCATAATATGGATTAATATTTTATTCTGTTAACCTTTACTTATAAACTGTGTTAAACACTACAGTACTTATGTAATCGGTAGATTTAATATTGCAACGTTCATAAGTAAAGTGTGCTATCTATTACGTGTAAAAATGTATCGTAATTTTGGTGCAAAAAGACTACTTTTACCTTACGGCTGCTACGTATAAGAATTGCATTAATATTTGCTGTTCAAAACGCAAAAGGGCGAAAAAATCTTAAATAATACTTAAAAAAAGCAAATCACTCTATAACACAACAAACGATGAGATCTCGGGAATAATAGTTCTGCAGACTGCAAGATAGCTTTGTACCTGCGTATGCGCATCTATTGCCATCTCTCTTTCTCCTTGTGTATTATACAAGACTCAAGTGTATGTTACATTCAGCTTAAACTACAGTCTGCAAAACGTTATATAAAAATCAAACGCAAAAAATAGCCGACAATAGCAACCAATTGGCAAAATATTTAAGTAAATAAATGTATATAAAAAAACAAACTAACTAATAAATTTAAATGCCTCCAATCGGAATGAACTAATAACGTATGGAATTATAACCAATTTCTTAATTTATAAATCTATACCAATCAATACAAATAAACAAATTACAATCAACTGCAACCGTAAATGTCTTTATAATTATTAATAATACAAATTCCTTTGTATAAAATCCTTCGAAATACCTTCCAATTCCTTTCAGACTTCTGGTTTTAAGATCATTTAAAAAAAACTAGCCTCATTTCAAATTCGTAAACCATTCACAGTCAGACTGTGTTAAAGGCAAATTTATATAAGCATGACCACTCTTGACAAAGTACAAATTGGCAAAATGGAAAATGCAAAAATAACCGACTGAGTTTCTTTTGAATTGTTTCGTTTGTGCTTAGTTCGTACAGGATTTCGTTCGTTATAACAGTAGCTTATTATACTTATGCACAGTTATTTTTTATTATATTATTTTATTCGTAAACTGTTCGTATCAATTTATTTCACATAAACTTCTCCTGTTTCGATGTCGGTAAATATAAGTGCATAGTGCAAAGTGCATCAGATAAGATTGATTTGGCTGGATATTGTATAATTCAATGAACATTAAAAATGAGGTATTCAATCGTCGGTCATACGTAAAAATAAGTTTACAATGGGTACATGATTAGCAAAATGGTGGACACGATAAACGTGCCAAGGCATAGGCAAGTGAAAAGAACTTTGTTCTCGACCTCCTTGGGAGCCTCAGTCTCAGTAGAAATCACACTGTTCAGATTATTCTGTATTTGGAGATTCATTTTACCCCTGTCATATCTCTCAGTATCAACCTGTTCCCTCAATAATTCCGTTGGAAAATCAACTTCGTCGGTATCGTATATTTCGAAATTATCACTTTTTAGTATGTGATCCTCCTTGCAGAAAGGCGTCACGAATTGGACTCTGTTGGTCTGATAGTAGGGTCCTCTATTCCTTAGTTCGTTTGTCCCGTAAACCGGTGAGTAGTGTATGCCTGAGTCCGTGTTATTGTTCTCGTTGTTTTGATATTCCTCGGATTCATCGATGGTGTAGGGTTGATTGTTGTCGGAGAAATTGAAGTTGCTAATGAATCGTTCTTCGGAGTATCTTCTAAGCTGCCTTTGGTAGTAGTTGACTTCGATAGATGAGTCAGGATCGTTAGTGGTGTAATACTCGTCGGCTTGTTCGTGGGCGTGTGTGTGTGTATATAGTGTGTCGGGTCGGATATCCCTACTAGCGCAGGGAGGCGGCGTGGCGTGTGTGAGGAGAGCGGTCACTGTGCGAGCGAGAGGCACGACACTCAGGTCTCCGTCTCCGTGCAGGTTCCCCAGTATGTCTTCGGGCGAACAGATGACCTCCTGCAACACACGCCACCCGACTCTTAGTTTCATTACAATAATCTGTCGCTTGAAAGGATATCTTACATGACCCTGCAACACTCGAAAGGGACGCGGCGCGAGGAAGGCCGATTTCAAAATTGAACACGTTAAACACACTATTATTTCACTTAAAATCGCGCAAGATATCGCAAATGATTTTCAAAATAAGGGATCAAAATTAAAAATAAGATACATGGAAACTACAAATAACAAAATCCAACTATAAATGCTTATAACTCACCTCTTCAACTCCAATTTTTCGACACGCTTCTAGAAAATTGTCCACGTTTCTTCTACACCTAGCCATTGTTAGCTTGGGCTGAAACAAAAAATACAATATTATTAAATTAAATTAAACACTTATCACAAGAGTTGAGAGTAATGTTCATTTTACTGTGCACTACATTTTATTGTCATTGTGATCAAGGGGCGCAGGATAACGAATAATTACTGTATTACTAAAATTTAAATGGTATGGTTTTTATAAAAAATCAACAATAACCTCTTTCATCGTGTACTTCGTTCCATCGTATATTCTAAAAAATACTTTTATCTCACTCACTCATTCATTCAGAAACATTCATCATCTTACACATATCTGACGTTCTAAAATATTCAACCCCACATGCATAAGATGATTGCTTGAGACGGTGTCCAATTTTAGCCAGTTTACAGATGTAAAAAGTAATCAGTCGAAATATTAAAATGAACCTACTATTTGGGATTTTTCCCATTCTCTCCGTCCTCTGTTTAGGATATGAGAGCTTGCTGACCCAACATGCCTAGTCCCAGTTTTAGAATCTACTCGGGTGAATCGTTCGAAATGTGTTGTATAAGTTTTACCGTGTGGTTTTGATGTACCTGTGCAGGCGAGGGTACGTGCACGGAGGCGACGGAGCGTGGCCGCACGTGGTTGGCCAGGTGACACAGCACTACCCCGTCACTCAGTACCGGCGCCAACTGCTCCGGGAGGGACATCTTCAGCCGGGACTCAATTATCTGGGAAGCGTAAAATTTTTATTAAAAGTTTATTTAAAGAAAACAATATGTTTATTTAGCTAGAAAACATTGAATCAGGGTCACCATAAAGCATTGACCATCCATTTAGAAATACAACACGCTTTCTTAAATTGAACAATACCATACCATTTATTCAATTATACTAAACTCGTGTCAGACTGATTAGTTTCGAATACAAACTGGGCCCTTAACGGGTGTATAACGTCGCAGTTATGTTAATATTCACTATGTCCTTAGAAAGGTACTAAAGAAAATCTTGTTATATTACAGTTAAATAGTTATGTAACTTACCGATCGTAACTGCGTCAGCAGATCCAACTCTTCCTTCTGCTTATCGAATTCCCTTTTCATAGTAAAGCTGAGTTTGTCCACCGGAGCGTCTTTATTCCACGCCATCTTGCCGGGGGGCTTTGGTGCAGCACCTTTTAAATACGACACACTAGTTGTCAGCAACTTAGTACTGTCGCCGTTCACTTGCCGGGGTATACTCGACTTACCTAGACTGTTGTACCCTATGGTATTCGTTGGAGATTTTGATGGGGATGTGGGTTTAATGTACGTATCTGTTTGACCATTAACGCGTCCATTATATTCCACATTGCCGTTAACAGTCGAGTATACCTTACTATTAACATTTCTCGATGGCACTACTTTTTGCACGGGCCTTTTGTTCTCTTCTTGTTTTTCAACGACACCGTTTCCATTTGTTGTCTGGTTTTGGTATCTTCTGGGGGTTGAGTGTAGGAGTGGGGAGTTTGGCACTTGGGATAGATTTGGGGATGAGGTATTGGATAGACTACTATTGGAAGAGGCGGTTTTGTATAGACTAGGTGATACATTACTACTGTATCCGTTCACTGGAGAGTGGGAGGATTTCTGGTGGATGGGACTCTGGTTTTGGGAGTGCGGGGAAGAGTCCAGCTCGGGGGAGGGCTGGTCCGTGCGAGGGCGGTAGATGTCTTGCTGACGCTGCTGTCTTAAGGCTTCTTTGTATTGTCTGGAATGTATCAAGCGCATAGTAAGTACATTTTTCAAAGATACCACAGCGTTGATGTGAATACAGATTTCGTTCCATAGCTGTTAGTTATCACAATAATTTAGTACATTAATACAATTTCAATTAACGATAAAATCTATCTCAAATACATACTGGGAAGTATAAAACGACGAATAGAAAAACATTAGTTAATTGACGTCGAGTGTGAACTATTTGTTAGTACTGCACCCACGGAAGTTCGGGAGGCGCCAATTAGTGTGTTTACAGACAGACAAACGATGCCGTGCATGCTATTAGTAATATGACACATTCTACCGACTAACGAACGAATGTTGAAAGACTAATGAATTTTAATTTGGTCTTGAGTATTCAATTTGTAACTTTTTAGTAAAAACTAGCTACTCTCACGCGGTTTCACCCGCTGCTCGGCTCAATTTGATCGTAGCGTGATGATTTATAGCACTCAGGAACGTTGTTTGGCAATCCGACCAGCGGTTCCGAAGATTACCCCCTACATACAAATTTACAAATTTTACCTCTTTATAATATTAGTATAGATAAATAATCTTTCGGCAAAAGTTACATAACACAAATTTTCCAGTCGTAAATATATCCTTATACGATTTTTATTAATAAAGTTCTTCACGGGGACGATGATAGTGTACATTTATTCCGTGAAGATCAGAGAATCGTAGACAAATCTTAAGTTACAAATATAATTACATAAATACTCTTTGTAGTGTATCCTACCTAAAACCTCTTTTTAAAGCAAATTGAACAAAAAATACCGAACTAAAAAACAATAAGTAAAATTTCGCCAGCTAGGACTAAAATAGATTGATTGATAGTTCCGCTGTCGGTGCAGTGCAGATATTTCGGTAGACTAGTCGGAACTAGGAAAAGTAGGTGCGTTCTGTGTTGCTTCACTAGATTAAATGTCGGCCGACGTTCGGGTCAAGGCGGTAGAGAAAATTTATGCGTTACTATTCGTTCTGTAATTGTTACGTATGCATGTTTGCTGAAAAATGTGTACGTCTTTACTTTTTTTAATGTTTATTTTAAAGATAAAGTTGACTTTATTAAGCTGATATTTTGAGGGTAAATTATCAATAATTGTCTTCTCGCGCCCTGGGTGACATGACAGAAAGTCAGATTTTTACTGTCTAATAACCACCTTTTGTCCTGCTACAGGCTGAGACACATTATTGCGCTAACGCCTCAACCCCGGATAAAAGTGTTAATTGACTCAGTTTTTATTATCCTTTCTGGGTCCAATAAATATTAAATATTTCCAAAATAGTCAATATCGTCAATTCCAATGGATGATATAAAAACATTCTTCGATAGTCTTCTGGCGCAAAATATCATGTTTATGCTGGATTCATACATGCTGTTAGTCCAACTTTGATTTATCATCACGTCCTATGACATAAGCTTAGGTATTTAGAAGAATGATTAATTAATAATAACATGCACGACTCATAACTAGATATGTTATACTATATCCAGAATAGATCACAGACTGGTGTGTTGTTGTTATAAAAAGTTCCATTGTATTAACATTATTTTACTGACTTCCAACGAATTATTCAAATAAAAATACATAAAAAAAATTTCAGATCATAAAATATCTCATTAATTCTATATGTACAAAATGTACAAACATAAATTATATCGATTTTTAAATGCAATAAATAAATTAAAAATAATATCACAGAGGCTTCCTACGACTAGGACCGCAGTCCTACTTTTTGCGCGGCCAGAGTCGCCGGAAGCCTCTAATCACAGTTTCATTTATTGATTTTACGATAAGATAAGTTTCAAAAGATGACGTCATAACACAATCATAGAAAACATGTCATATCGATATTGACGTTTCGGAAAAACAATGTATTTACATTTAAATAGTTATTAAGTTCTCAAAAACAGAACCGAACAAGAAAAGATTCATAATTTTACTTTTTTATAACAACAACACATGAACGAAATCTATGTAATCACATCAAACCTTTTAAATAAACCAAATTATATATTAAGTAATCTAGTGCGTATGTTAGTGAATGTTGTGCATATATGACAATGTACCTGTAGGTTTGTTGATGGGCTAATTTACTCTTATCGTCGCCATTCGACATGTTCCCATCGGGTGAAATACGGACGCTGAAAGGGACAACACCGGGGTTAATAAAAAAAGGCGGAGTTGCAACGATATCTGTCTGCAATGCTGTTCAAAATTACATGCTTTTTCTCAAAATTAATATTTTGTCATTTATGTTGACACTATTTATAGTTGTTGACATCATTATTAGTTAAAATTTGTATTGCTGTCGTCACAAAAACTTTTTTGCCACTAGGGGCGCTAGTGTCGATTTAGGTCTACTCACAAAGAGTAATACCGTAACCATGGGTGCCAACTATTATGTAGCTTGATGTGAGTTTTCTGACAATTTGTTACTGTTACAGAAACAAAAAATAATTCAGACAATATTGTTTACTGGTTCTGAATGGTATCGTATTAAAAAAGTAGAGAAGATAAGTATTCAACATCATGAAACATTGGATATACGTATTGTGATTTGTCCATTTTTATATGATCAAATCATAATATATTTTGAACAGTATACTCTGATATCGTTGCGGAAACATGAGACAGAGGGGAGGGTGATATATAATGGCTGTGAAATTTCAGAAAATAAGTTTTAAATTTTATATTACCTCTGTTTCGGCCAATGCGAAAAAAATAAAAATAAAGATATAAGCAGCTATATAAATCTACATATAGAAAAATATAAATATAAATAAAACACCCAGAATAAATTCAAGCTCTCGAATTCTTTTCTACAAATTGTGGATGTAAACTAGACAGGCTATGGTAAATATGGCCTTATTTTTTAAATCTGTGTAGTTCACATCCAATTTAAGTCTATATTTAAAATGTTAAATCAAATATCTATTAATTAAAATTTTATTCATAATTTAAATTTACACACACACAAAATCCTTTAACACATTCAGTGCCCCCGACGCGTATGTGCGTTTCCTCGCACGCACATACGCGTCGGGGGCACTGAATGTGTTAAATCTACTTTATTATTATTATTAATGCCAATGAACTTTTTCTTTTATATTTGACATCTATTTCCAGTAGATATACTTAGTTCTACCAATGGCATTAATAACAAAGTGGATAAGTAATACTGTTTGCTATTTATAAAGTAGTTTTATTTCAATGAAACTCACAACCGATAAAAAGTAAACTGAGCTGTGTAACCACCCAAATACAATATGTAGGCGTCAAACACTTGTATCCCTCGTTAACCCATTTTAATGTAATTTTATTTTAGAGTGATCAAAGCATTTGACGACATTGAGGAGCATATCATATCAAAAAATATATTACAAGTACATATTTGAAAACTTACCCGGAGAGTAAAGGGGTGAGTGGTGCAAGAGGAGTTTCACTGGATAAAGACTGGGCCCTGGACAGCGCTGCGCCTGGTGATAATGTGGATGGTGTGCTCGGAGTTGATCGACCACTGCCACCCCCTCCACCGGCCTCGCCGCCACCTATAGACGAAAAGTAGCCGTTTAAAAACATATTTTTATAGCGCTAAGTTTTCTATAACTGAATAAACTCGCACGGTTCTCTAACATTATATTATTTTACATTGTCTGGACTTGAAAAGAGTGACCTCCAGTTTGTTTCGGCATTTCTTTTCAGAGTAGTCGATAGGAGCTTCCTCTCTCCTGTTTGCCTTATTTTGCTGTGACCTACAGGGTCCATAATTTATTTCACACAAATTGTTACCACCTTTAAATGTACTTATGGAAAAGCAATATAGATATTGAGTATTGAGTATTGGAAATGCCGGCTTCATCTAGTTTTTTTTTATATAATTTGACGAGAAAGTCCGTTTTATGGCCTTTTGCAAAACTAAATCATTGTTTCAAAGATTATCCAGGTGCCATAAATTCTGTTTGATAGGCAGATTGGCGGTTTAAATTCTGTTTGATAGGCAGATTGGCGGTTTAGATCAGTAAAAAATTTGAGAAATGCACCTACTGGTCGTAGTTTTAAGTCGACATACATTGGGTCTGAACTATTCTTAAATATCAATTGAATTGTTTACAAATAATCACCAGTTATGAAAGCAACAAAGAAAGAAAAAAAAATCTTATTCTCGTGCTTCTTGGCAACCAGATTCTAATACTAAGCACGCCCAAGGTAAGATGGACTGCAATGCGGTGCTCAGTCCAAGCTGCAATGCAGTGATTGAGACATTTTGTCGAACAATTTTATGTCTAAATGATTTCTTCCCAATACTAAACCCTAAGCTGTATTATTATCAATTATTTCTCCTGTCAAACGTGGTTGCTTTTACAAATACAATAAAAAAACTCACAACACAACTAGAGCTAAAATGACGTGCGAGAATCGAACCCGCGATACATATACATGACTGCACAGTTGGTGCGGTGGCTGGGCAACGTGCCGCGGGTTCGATTCCAGCACGGAACAACTCAGTGTAATCCACAAATTGTTGTTCTGGATCTGGGTATCATGTGTATGTTTGTAACCGCACCCACGACACAGGAGAAAATCCTAGTGTGGGTCAACGTTTTTTAAAAAAGACCAAAGACTAAAATATACTATTACGTTGAGCAGCATCATCAGTTTGTAGGCCAGAACACGTTAAGCAGCAGCCGTAGTTGTTTGTTAACAGTTCAGAGCGAGTTGCTCACTCATTGCGCTAACCATGCAGTCAAAAAAGTTCAAAGTATTTATGTATAACTTAATATGTGTAGAGGCTAAAGCAAGACTGGGAACATCACTATTTCATAGCTCAATCTACCGCAAAAATGATTGCATAACTTCAAACAGCAATCTGTATGCAGATTGCGCATAGCCTAACTCTGAACTTTTTCCTAGTCAGAAACAATTCAGTAAAAAAATGATCTTAAAACCAAAGCTTCACCTAACAGTTTTAGCTTATAGCCTTCCTCGATAAATGTTCTATCAAAAACAAAAGGAATCGTTCAATTCGCACTAGTAGTTGCAGAGATAAGCGCATTCAACCAAACACTCGTCAGCTTTATAACATAAAGTATAGATATAAAAGTCCCCTATAAGGGATAAAGAGTTAATTTTAGGTCGCTCCTATTTCCGGAGCGTTTAAATGTCATTCGTTTTTTATGGACGGCAGCCATTTTTGAATGTTGGCTGTCATTAAGGACGCTTGACAACGTGAATGGCTCGTTAACGGTGTACACCGAAGAGGAGAACTTGACTGAAATTCTTTCCGTAACAAAAATGAAAGTACTAAGGAACTTTGGGTCTTAAGGGTACTTTTGATCTCACTTGACTTTTTCGTTAGAAAAAAAAACTTTAGAAAATGTACCTACTTGTGTTACCTTAGAAGCCAGAATTTAAAAAACTCAAATTAATTCTGCTTAAAGTTCTTATTCAAGAATTACTTAATGTGGTAATTATATGTATATGTATATTTCCTCTTTAATTTAGCTTTCGCTTTCCTACCTACAGATAAATTAAAATCTGCAAGAACTAAGCAATTTTAGACTTACCATCATTAGACCATCGTTTGTCGACTCCATCAGTGCTGTATCCACTATCAACGACATGCCTTGGCTTATGCCTCAAGCAGTCTATGGTAGCGTTGCCCGAAATGATTTGATGCGTCGTACTTTGGTTTGGGGAGTTGTTGATGTAAGAACTGTGTTTTGCTGACCGTCTTGTGTCGTCCACTCGTCTGTGTGCCGGCAGTGAATCTTTGTTTGCCATATTTTCTAGGTACTTGAATATATGCACACGCCCGCGCATGCATATCTAAAGATAGGAAAAAAAGAAATTATCTAATAAAATGTTTGTCGAATATTATTCAAAACGTTGCATTACATTTTGTAATGTTAATTAAATTAACATTATTTAGCCTGGATGTTGTAAATTCCCGAGTCCACAAGTACTTTAGAAGGAATAAAGGGCTTTAAAACTAACAAATGAGGAAAACCTTGATTGACATATTAATTATCAAAGCGGTTTTGCTAAAAATAACTGAGTAGTTGTTGCTAGTGTATATTTGTTTGTTTAAAGTCTTCTTTCACGCTGTCAGTTAAAGAAAACATTAGCGTATCGGCAAGTATGTAGCATGCCAGTCGTAAAACCCGAGGGAAAGTCGAACTAGTTTTCAAGCAATGAACTGAAAATTTATGGCGCTTCGCTGCAGTGAGGTGTTTTATTGCCTTTTAACTACATAAGGAATGCAGTTTCTGAATTTTGTAGAACAAACGTTGTGATATAATGAGGTCAGATTTGAGAAACGTCTTCAAAAGGAACTATTTAATTTATAAAGTAGTTTTGTTCCGTCCTATCAATTCCCGAGTAATCTCATAACTTTAACAATGACCTGATACAAATCATAAAAAAGAAACAAATAAATATAGCTTACTGTAGTAGGTGGGGAAACGAGGGGATTGTTGTCCAAATTTAGCGTAATTATTGTGTTCATGTTTCGGAGTTCCAGTGGCAGTGAAGATATGCAGTTGCAGCTCACGTCCAGGTGTTCCAACTTAAGGTATGTGATCTCTGAAATGGTACAAGCGTTTAATATAAAAGTGTTATAATTTAATTGCAGAACATTAACTGTATACAGAGTTCAGATGAATCAAAAAGGCTAACGATAAAGGATTGATATTTTCGATCACCTTTTTCGTGAGTGACGTCACGACTACGTTTTATTTGACATCTACACATGTTTAGGACAATTATAAATAAATTAGTATTTATAGCACGCTCGCACATTCACTGGTGTGCTTTTAAAGAGGCCTGTCCTAGAGAAAACAAAAAAGATGATGTGAGGATGATGATACTTAGAATTTTTTTTAAGGGTTCATATCGAAACAGTCTGTCAATTATTCCTCCACGGGACGGGTTGCGGGGCTAGCGCAATATTATGGTACCGTGGCCTTGGCCTAGAGCAAGAGCAGGAACAGGGGGGTTTTTAGTTAGTAAGTCTGACACACTCTTTCGTCTATCTCTGAGCGAGAAGTCATTGGATGATTTTCCTCTCACAAAAAAAGGTATATTATTCCTTTTGGCTACGTAGATGTGGACATCTAATAACCTGAGTGCAAAAGCATGTTTATTACATGTAATGGTGTTTAAAGGAGGGGGATCCTTTTAATTATTATAGTACATGCTTACTAAGTTTTAAGATAGATATTAATATGTACATAGCATAAGTACAAGAAGCTGACGCAGGATACGTTTTTAATTACTTTCCGCTATAACTTATACCTAAGTTACAATCTGGCCATCCGGCCGATATGGGAAGGTCGTGTTCGTGTGACATAATGTAGAGATACAGCAATAAATCCAAAACGTGCTAAAATAGTTTTGGAAGTAAATAAATACATCTAACGGACTATTTATATAAGTATAATTTCATACTTGCAACAGTAACAAGATTGCACTCCTTAAATAGCGATCAAACATGGTAAGATCAAAAGAGCTTCCTAAACGTCATGGTTTACGCATCAAATTCAATTTGACCACTTAGTACCCACTTTAGTTTGCAAAGATAAATAAACAAAGTATTAAGGATGCGAATATACGAGTATTAATCATATTTTCATGAAGATTTTTATTATATTCGTATATTAGTATACTTTTACATAAATATTAAGTATTAAAGGAATAGTATAGTTACTAATGACGTAATAGGGTCTCTTTTCCATAAATGAGTGCGTTATTTAAAACAAATAGAAAACTCATTTTATAATATCCCTTTCACTTAACAATAAATGTAAATTAATATGTATTATGCCACTTTCATCTATGTATATGGTAAGATGATTGTATCGCGCTAACCATTAGGCGATCTGTTTGGTCGTTTGCACTATAAAAAGCCCTGTCACTATACTGAATTAGGTACTTTTCTCGGTCAGAAACAAAGACTATTAAACATTATAAAGTAAAAAATATTAGCATAATCATAGTTTTGATTTAGTGACAGGTATGTCGATATCGGTTCATTTTCTATCATAACTAGTTCATTTTTAAGAAGCTTGTGTGATAATAATTATAATATAAGTTGCAAAAATTCAAAGAAAAGTATTTTTAACATTTTTATAAAAGTATTGAATTTGACTAGTTGCCTGCTGCCGTACCTATACTAACTAGACTTGATACTTGCAATAATTAAAATATTATACATTTAAATAGAAAATTACAATAAAATTGAAAAGACAACAGTGTTTTCAAGAAGGTATGTTGTGTGTTATTTTCCTCGTTGGTTGCATTGGCGATACCAACTAACGCCATTTTAACTAGGCCACCGATGTTTTCACTATAAGTACTCCATCGTTATCAATATTACGGTAGGTTGCGTTCAATGCATGTTATTATTGTAATAATATTATTGTTACAAATGAGTTATTATTTACAAAAATATAAAATTTGTAACGTTATTCCATTCATGGTGGCGCAACCAAATACATATATTTTGATATAGATATGTATCGACAAATGCACCGTAAATATTAGAATTTGGACACATTATGTATGGAGTCAAAACTTGGATCTACCTTTATCTAAAAATCTGCAGGCAAATAGCTTGTATTGAGCTGTGGCTTATAAGGAGATGAATCTGTACATCACTAAACCGACAAACAATTGTTCAAACATCTTAATAAATATTTAAATATAGGGCACAATGAGTAATTGATAACTAATGATTACATCAATCAATGAATAAATCGATCATTAAATCTCAATATAGTGCCAACGCATGCGCATATGACGACATTTATGTAAAGCGAATGTATAGAATGATTTAGATTTTAGAATTTTGAATTTGGAGTCAAATTAAGGCACATCACTACTTCAGTCGTATCATGTTATAACTGACTGGAAACAAAATAATGCCAAGTAAAAAAAAATTGAACTCACGTAACGGCAGTAGTCCCAACTGATTATTGCTAAGGTCGAGTGCCCGCAGACCAGCGCAATCCCCAAGTGTCATGGGGACTTGCGTTAGCCTGTTGTTCGAGGCGTCCAGCTCAGCCAACGAGGTCATCTTGCCAATCTCCTTCGGTAAGGTACTTAGCATATTGTCGGGTACTAATAGCACTTGAAGTGGCATCTGGCATACTTCACGTGGTAATTCTGTGAGCTGGTTTGAACTGTGGACAAGAGAAACAAGTTGTTATTTACTTGATTGGATTATCATTTTTAATTAGGAGGTTAATGCGCTTGGTTCTCTCTCAAGTGCAAGAGCAAAATTACGAAACATGGCAGGTGCTAATGGCGGTTTTCAAACATTCTGGTCTTTTATGGAAACATCAAGCGGCTAGTTTTAATTGGAATGTTTTATATCTTTCAATACCTTCTTTACGCTATCTGATAGTGGGTCTTAAGAACTTCATCTTTACAAGTCAATGAACGCGAATATAAACAAATGCACCCAATCGATACATCACTAAGCGGTTATTTTTACCCCATCAGAGGCAACTTCAGAATGGGATTGTATGTAATTATAGCGGTCGAAACATAAATCGGTCATCGCCTAACCTAATAGTTTCGGAGTTCGTGCCAAGAAAACTAGTAAACATTGGTGTAAAGTTGTTAAAAACACTTCCTGCTTCAAGACCTGAAGGAATTAAAAGGTTTTATATAAATCATCTTAATTTTATAACTTCTTGTGCGGTAGCTGTGATAATTTTGTGCTCAGATTAGATTACGTAGGTAAACAAGATGATCATATTTTACGACCACCTATGGAGCTATTTCCACATGGAAATAAAGCCATAAATAATATTGATTCAAGGAGATATTCACGGACTGAAGTCTAAACAGTGTTTAAGTTATCTTAATGAATTATGCTTATTAAATAGTGCTTTGGAAATAACTAATCGTAACCATTTTACGATAAATATAAAGAAACATTTCTGTTTAATAATAATGCTGTAAAGTAACGGGTAATGGCAATACGTCACTAATAAACTTGATTCATCAAATAAAAAAAAACTTTAAACCTAATTTCATATACCCGACCTAAACTAATAGTTACTATAATATAATCAAATCAAACCAATAAAGTTCCCAATCTGGAAGAGTCAACCAAAACAAAATGCATCTACATTAGAAAGAGACAGAGCGAAAACAAAGCTCGATATAACCAAAACACAGACAGCTAAACATGCTGATGTACTTAAAGTGCACCTAGCTAGACTACATCTAGATATTTTTTCACCGTCTAGACGTTTAGACACGGTTGAAACAGGATTCAATTCTGCAAGACTAGGAATCAATAAATAGATGCCAGGTCAACGGACGCACAGGGGACTTCATTAAGTGTAGATAGAGATAGATGTTAACTAGAAAAGTTCTATAACAGGTCGTCACAATGAAAATGGCCTATATGCTGGTAAAGCGATTATTGTACGGGATGACGTAAACAATCCAATAAATATACGGGCAGGCACGTGGAATGGGATCAACGAACCGAGGATAGAATGGAGTAGTTACTTTTACTGGCAGTAGGTAGCATATAGATACAACGTTTCTTTGAAAGACTGCTGTTATGACTTTCATGTATTACCGTTTGTGTTTCGTTATTCTTGCTCGTCTGGATTATACTTGGAAAATAGACATATGAAACCCTTATCACAGAAATGAAGTACCTATAAGTCGCATATAATGCCATACGATGAGGTTAAGGTTTGTTAATATTCGATACTCGAAAATGTAACGGTAGTGTATTTTAATTGTTTCTGTGATTTTGAAACTTTATTTAATATGGGACGATTAACATTGTTAATAGTAGTACTACCTAGTAGTTAAGCAATAACTATTGCGACCACAATACGAGATCTTCACAGAGAACCCACTAAGATGCCTTTATATTTTGGATCTAGGAATAACAAGATTTTTATATATACAACGTCACTAATCTATCCTGATACTGCACATAGTATAAAACAAATACCGACTTCTTTATCCCTTTATACCTGTGTACATTTAAATCTTATAAAGCTACGCAACGGATTTTCGGACCATCATAGACAGAGTGACTGAAGAATGTACACCTACATAATAAAATCCATAAAATAGTGGAGAAATTAAGTATTTATTGTAGCCATGCGAAGCCGGGGCGGGTCGCTAGTTAAACATTATAGCATAGTGCTACATTTCTCAATATCGTCCCGTCAGCAAGATAACCGTTATCGCACCACCGTAGAAGGCAACGCGACAGTTTCACCAGAAGCAAGAATACGAGCACTGTCATACAATTGCAATGTACATACATAAACAAGCTTTCCCGATGACTTTGTAATTTAGTGCAATAACTGTCATATCTGTGTTTTCGGATGCTCTTACTTAGCACTTAAGTTTCATATAAGATTGGTGTGAATTTTAGATGTTTATCGGTAAATTCGAAGTTCCTCGTCATTTATAAAGCACTAGCTACTCTCGCGCGGTTTCAACCGCTGCTCGGCTCCATTTGACTGTAGCATGATGTTTTATAGCCAATAGCACTCGGAAACACTGTAACTATCAATTAGTGAAAGAATTTTGGAAATCCGACTAGCGGTTTCAAAGATTACCCCCTACATACAAACTCACAAATTTTACATGTATATCTATCCTCTTTGTATAGATTTGCATTATTTGTTAATTCGTTTTCAAATCACAAACCCCTAAAGTGCATTCTAAGATTGCAAAATAATGCTTTTCGTGAAATACAAAAACGTAATAAGCGGTTACTTAACGAAGTGTAACTAATTAATTCTTGAATAAAAACTATATTAATTTACACATTAACGCTCATTATAACAACGTTCACGTTAGAATAGAAAATTAAGTAAATTGTATCACATGGAACTAATTTAAAATATTTTTTCAATTAATCCAACGTTTGCATTAGGATTTTCTATTTTTCGCTATTGTACTTTACACATTGACTTGTATTTGACAAATAACTTAAGTGTGGGAGAACCAAGCTTTGGCACGAATGAGTCGGCTTGACCGGAGTGATACCACGGCTTCACAGAATACCGGCGTGAAACAACCCACATTGTTGTGTTTCGCCGTGTGAGTGAGGTTACCGGAGGCCCAATCCCTTCCCTTCCCCTATCCCTTCCCTATCCTTATATCCGCAACCCCTATCCCCAAAAGGCCGGCAACGCACTCATAACTCCTTTGGTGTTGCGGGTGTCCATGGGCGTAAAAATAACTAATATTATTAACGCAAAAGCTTGTTAGTATGGGTGGATTTGTTATCACTCTTTGATCAAAGTGAAATTTAGCTATAATCTGAAATAACACATTCACCATACCTAGTACTGCGGGCTAAGTCGCTGACAGAAACTAGTCTTTAATGATTACTGAGGCGTAAACAACGAAGAACATACGTCAGAAACAGGGACTTTCACTGTAAGATCGTCATAATTAATTTGTCAAACATTGTACGGTGAAAAGCTATTCAAAGTTGGTTAATTGCCTTGTATCCTCAGGTGCTAAACACACCTCCGTCATATTGTGAGGCGCCATGATAACATTTGCTGAAGCCGTTTATTGCGAGGGACGAGCCCTACACGAGGGAATGGGGTGCTTGTTGTTGCTGACTTAATTATTTAGGCGTTGTGGGGGAATCTTAGTTTGAGTCAGTGTAATGCGTGTGAATCTGGGTCAGTTTTAAGTCATAAAACGAGATTAATAATTGCTTATAAACTGGTCAATCGATTCACTTAGAAGCAACTTTTGAGGAGTATTACAAATCTATAAGCAACGTCATAATCCTTAGGAAGTAAGTTTATCTACTATATATCAACACGGTAGGAAATGTACACAAGTAATTTTCAAATGATTCGTTGAACTTCCGAGTTGCACCTCCCACACTCAATAATATGAAAGCAACATAGCGGCCCCACATAGCTTCCCCTAACAATTTAGTGCAAATAATTCGCACGTTCCGCTTCAGCGGTTCAAGGCTGATATCATATCGATTTGTTCTCTGTGGGGTGACAGAAATAACTCATCGACAAAAACTATTTATACGACGCCATTTCGACTAGAGCCTAAAAGGTGTTATATGAAAACTATATGAATATTAGTTCCAGTAATAATCTAACTATTCATAAATGTATCTATGTAGTTAAAAATATCCTGGTTACATCGTATCTGCACAATCAAGTTACACAATAGTGGTAGTGCCATTTCCAGTCTTTCGCTATTTATTGTACTGCACATTTGGCGCGGACGTCCCATTTTCGAAAGCCTACGTGTGTACTGTCATGCGCGTGCGCTTTTTCATCGAGCGTTATGGTGTGTGCGCGTGCGACGAACCGCGATCACAATGCGTGAGTTACGCTTTGCTGGTGATTTTATGACTGTGTTTTGGCAGTTACGTCAATGTAGATCGTTTTGATTATGTCAAATCGTCAGTTTGGAGCACAATAGCTGTGATATAAGCATAATGATACATGATTAAGGTAATAACCTCCTTATTGTCAAAATTGTGAATTGTATCAGTGGTATTTACGATTCTAGTACTCTAATAACATAAACTAAGTGATTCCTATCATTGCCTTCATCCGTAAACATGAATACAACACCATAAATAAGAGAGAAAACTGTTGCATAGTGTAACAATGGAGTCGGGTGCTTGTGTTGTGACAGTTGTGCATTTCATAGAATAGAAACAACAATAGTTGAATGTACATATTTGTTGGGTGCCCTCGTTGTTCCGAGTATAAACTGTTTGTGAACGGGGCTAATGTCGATCGAGTTACGTACGACATACAGTTATTGCCTCATTGCATCAATTTCAAGTTCATAGCAAAGAAAAATGATATTGTTATGAAGAAGCTCTAAGTAAAAACTAAATTTCTTGGAAAAATCCGCTCTATTACCTTCGGCTGCGTAATTAAGTTGTTGAAGTTATTGCTTGAGCTAAACATTTGTCTTAATTAAGAGCAAAATGGTTTTATACCTCATAATAAAAAACCAAGAGCGTTGAATAAATTAGCAACTAAAGGCGTTTTGTTAGTGAAATCCAAAATTATTAAGTAAAAAGAGCTGCAAGTTATTTAATTACTTGATGGCCTTCTGAATTTTGGTGTTCCTGATAAAAGCATATGCAAAGGATGATGTCAGTCGACAGATGCGATCCCACCTGCCC